TATTTTTGTATAATTTCATTGGTTTTGTTGTTGTAGTAATCCACCTTTTGTAAACTTCCTTATAATTTTGTACACTTCCTTATCCTAGATTAATACTTTTATAACTTAATAGTTTGTTTTGAAGAATATATATGTGCATCCTAGATATTTGGTGCAATGAAAAATATTTGGTGATCCAAATGTGGTTGTGATGTTGGAAAAATATGAAAAATTAGGCGCAAATGAATAAATTTCGAGAATGCACCTGATTTAGTTAAATGTGGTTGTGATGTTGAAAAAATATGAAAAATTAGGTACAAATAAATAAATTCCGAGAATGCACCTGATTTAGTTAAATATAGCATATTAAACAAGTATTTTACATCGGGTATATTAAGAAAACTGATGTAAAAAACAATTTTTTACATCGGGTATATTAAGAAAACCGATGTAAAAGCTTGTCTTTATTTTTTTTTTATTATTATTATTTTTATATCAGTTTTAAAAACTAACCGATGTAATAGGTTGAGTTTTTACATCGGGTTGTAGCCCGATGTAAAATGTCTTTGATTTACTACATTGTTTAGATTTACATCGGACCAAGAACCGATGTAAAAAGTATTTTTCGCCCGATGTAAAATGTATTTCCTGCACTAGTGTACCCTCACCCCTAACACGCCCTAATCCCCTTATTCAATATATTCACGGTCAATTACATGTACAAGCAGAATAGTCAAAAGAAAGGAAAATGAAACGTGAATGGATTTAGAAGAACCATCGCCTGATGATAAAGGAAGAGGTGTCAATTTGCACCGATTCGACTAAGGCTCTAAGGTTAGTTCTGTATGCTTTCTCTAATCCTTATCTTTTCTTCTTTTGTGAATGTTGCTTCTCCTTGTTGTGGCTGGTTGTTGTTTTGTATGCATTAGAAATTGTTCCGAGTTATGATTGTCATGTGTATGGTTGTTGAGTTTTCGAGCGCGTCGCTTTGATTGTAGTTGATGAGTGAAGGTAAGGCTGCCAATTTGTCATAGTTAATTTGTGTGGAGGATTTGAGGAGTAAAGTTATGAGTTTTTTGAGTGTATTTTGGTTGGATTTTTTTTAAGTTTATGCGGTTTAGGTTCGTGTATGGTGTTGTTGAATTTACTGTTACATGGCTGGGCGAGTTTGGTCGTGTTTGTTATGATGAGAGTGTGAGGTTGAAAGATTGATTAAGAAGGTATAATGATAATTCTTACCAAATACTTATTAAGTCTTAGATGCTCAAAAGATAAAACATTATTGCATAACATGTTTATACCATATCACAAAAGTCTTAAGCAAAAAATTCATTTTTTATTCTGTGCAATCGATTTGCATTCATGTGCAATCGATTGCTTACTGAGCTTTTCATAAAAAATATTCAAATTTGCTTATGTTTTGTCTGTGCAAATCGATTACTTCTGATGTGCAATCGATTGCACACTGAAAGATTTTCAAAAATTAACCCTTGTGCAATCGATTGTTGCTAAGGTGCAATTGATTGTTGTTAAGGTGCAATCGATTGCTTGTTGTACGTTTTTGAAAAACAGTAACTTTTTGCACACCTCTTCATACACCACTTCAAAGAATCTTTTCATTTAATCTTTGCAATTGTTCATGATTATTTTGGATAAACTTATGATGTTTCAAAGGGGGTGTTATGAACAATAAATACTTGATTTTTCATATTCAAAAATCACCTTTTTCAATCAAACTTTGCATAATTCTCAAGATCTCTATTTCAAGTTTATATCTTTCATTCAAGAATTTTCTGCATAATTTCGTATCATTTAAAATAGAAATTCTTGAGCAATCTAAGTCTTGAGTAATTGAAATATTGTCATTGAAGAAGAATATCAATCAAGTGATTGATATATTGTCCATAATCATTTCAAACTCTTATCAAAATTCAGATTACTTATTGTAACCTTGTTGTCCTGGATTGTTGAAAGCAAATGTGTGCATTGAAGATGATTGTTCTTCTTGCACTTAGTGTTCAGATCTTAAAGGTGTTAAGAGTCTTTGATCTCCCTATAGATTAGATAGTAAACATCACAATTGGTGTGAATATGTTGTACAATCATTCTAGCTATAGTGAAATCTCTTTCGTGTTGAAAAGGGACTGAAGTACTCTCGTACTGTAAAGGGAACCAGGATATATCTGGTGTGATTTATTTTTCTGTCATTTACCGTTTTAATAACCTTCATTAGAACCAGAAAAATAATCCTAACTTCATACAAATTTGAGAATTTCCAAATCACTTAATTCATCACTCTCTTAGGTGCACTAATAACTTACACGACACTCATACATAGACATCGATAATAATTTTAAAAAAAAAATAAATATAATCGTTAGTGTCGGTGTAAGTGTCCGGCACCGATCCAAACACACACTTTTTTCTGAAGTGTCTGAACTACATAGTTCATAATTCATAATGCAAATTTTTAAGTTTGTGATGCCAACCTTGTTTATCTTATTTTTTGATAAGTTTTAGGGACATAAAATAGTGTTTATGTGAGACACTATAAATAACTTGTGCTATGCAATAACTTGATAGCTAAGGAACCGTATTATATACCTCACAAAAACAAAGAAATGGTGCGCATATTTCTAGAAAAAAGGGAACCACCACATATTTCCATGTGCATTCCAACTGAAGATGCATGAACATGCAGACCTCACATCTTCATGAACTAGTTTCTGGATCACCAATCGATATGATCGGTTTCAAACAGTGGTTCAATTCAATGATTCAGGTAAACAATTTCTAACCAGAAAAAGTGCAGCGGGACATTAACGGATATGAAAGTTGACAACTACAATAGAAGATATTGGCTTTGTCTTTGAAAAGGAGGAGGGACTTGGCCTGTCTGAAGCACAAAATGTATGGAGATGCAGGGGATCGAACCCTGTACCTCCCGCATGCAAAGCGGGCGCTCTACCATTTGAGCTACATCCCCATTTATTGATTCACTTTACTTTAAAACAAAATATTAGTGTGCAATAAATCCTTACATAAAAAAATTGAAGAAAAATGGAGATGCAGGGGATCGAACCCTGTACCTCCCGCATGCAAAGCGGGCGCTCTACCATTTGAGCTACATCCCCATTTGTGAACATGTGAAAACAAGGCCTACTTGATGGAATAGTTGAGCATGGTGTGTTAACTTGTGAAGACATATGAGGAATGGGATAAAGAACAATAACAACCGGCCCCCAAATGATATCTTGTAACAAAGTTTTCACAACAAGAAAGAGGAAGATAAAGATGACAAAGTCGACTTGTGGTTGCAGAGATTTGGTAGATCTTCAAAGTTTTGCTCTACACTAGTGATACTGAGATGGTGTTTAGGGCTTTAGATGAGGTGTATGTATAAGCCTCGTAGTCTTCAGGTTTGTTCTAGAAGAGTTGGAGTTGTATAAATGGTGATGTGAAATGTTATTGACTCATTCATTATATTTTCAATTGTTAGTGAACTATGAAGTTGATGGGAACCATTCAAGGCTGCAAGGTGAAATTTTGTATCGACAGTGGGGCTAGTCATAATTTCGTTGGCTCCAGAATTGTTCAATTTCTATATCTAACCATATCTAGTGATGACATGCATTATGTTAAGTTGGTGATACCGTTTGAAAAATACACAGGGCTATTGTGAAGATGTGACGGTGCAGTTGGGTGATAACGAAGCTGAAGGTATATTCTATGTTTTTGAATTAGGATGTATAGATAAGGTTTTGGGTGTCACTTGGATTGCAACTTTAGACGTTTCTATGATGAATTAGAAAGAGTCTAGCATGTTCTTTGCGCAACATGGTGTAGCTTTTAAGTTGTTGGGTGACTCTTCTTTGGAAGAGACCTTAAGTTTCTATATAAATCCTTACGTATGATGATGAAGGTGAATTATATATATATATATATATATATATATATATATATATATATATATATATATATATATATATATATATATATATATATATATATATATATATATATATATATATATATATATATATATATATATATATATATATATATATATATATATATATATATATATATATATATATATATATATATATATATATATATATATATATATATATATATATATCATCCATAAGTGAGACAATATCATTATGAATATAATCCAGAGTTTCTTTGGTTCTATGTTTTCTGCAGTGTTGAACTTCAGTCTGTTAGCCTTATCAAGAACACAATGCTCACAGAAATCCAATAACTTAAACGTATCCATACCCAACAACTTGTAATTGTACAATTCCTTAAGCCCTCCTTCCCTGATATGAGCCACTCTCACGTTCCTCCTTTGATCTTTCATCATCGGTGACATTGTTGACACTTCCAACTAGGATCTTTTATAAAATGTTTATTAAAATAAAATTTAATAAAGGTATTTTTCAAAATGATTCATATTATTACTTCATCAAAGAGATCTTTCATTCTTTCTCTCTTACTCTACAAAGATACGGCTAACTGAGTAATCATATGTTTATAATAAAACCAAAAGTGTAGACTCATAAACTGTAAAACAGGAATTAGATTGCATATTCGCACATCCATTCAAGAGCCAAGAACTTTGTTAAAAAGGACTAGCAAGGTTTCTTAGGTAGATTAGAAGATGATTAAAGTATTTTAGATGTGGAATAACCAAACATTCTAATTGAAACTACGGTAATGGAGATAAATGAAATATAGTCACACTTAACACATTGACACAGGTAAAAGCATATATATAATGAGATTGGCACATATATAAACCAAACTAAACGGCTAAACATAGCATATAGTAAAGGGGATTCCAAAAACATGAAATAGTTCAAACACAACATATATCTTCAAATCAGATCCTCAAGAAATAAACATATACATTATATTAGTTCCTATCATAAAATGCTAAAAAGTATGCATATTCTTTAGCAAAGAATCTGCAACTCAAAACCATCAAGTAGCTGATCCAACAATCTTCAAGATCCCTAAAGAAACAGATTCCTGAATTCACCATTTGCAAGTTGGCATAACTGATTGTAAGAGTTGACATCTACAAAGAAAAACAATTCAAAATCAACACAAGTAGGTAAACATCAGAACAGAAATTTAAAACACAAAATAGTATATATATTTCTAATTTGGGTGTAAGTTGTGAACAGAAAGATTGCCAACCAACATAATTTGCTGAATGGAATATAATGGAATGGAGCATAATGGAACATAAGCGAAATATAGATATCGCCCCCCATTGTTTGGATATTTTATTCAAAATGTCTCATTCTATTGCATACACCCACAAATCAGTTGGAAAAAAAATGGAGAATTTGATGGAACTAAATGGATTATCATGTTCCATTCCGCTCCATCCATTATTTGAAAATCCAATCAATGAAATCTCATTATTTACCACTCCATTACATTTCATCGCATATCATACCACAAATCAACATACCCTAAAAATGTCAAACAAATTAAATGATAACATGAAAGAAAATTATATAGATAAAAACAACAGTGCTTCATACCAAATGTGGCACCAAAGTCTGTAAATATCTCAGCACGGATAGTGTTACTACTTTCAGCAATGCCAATAACCTCAACATAATTCAAAACAGGCACTTGTGATGATAACCCTTTCACAATTATCTGAGATTCATCAGTGGATTTTCCTGTGGCCACCGCTCCATCAGACTGATTCACCTGAACCACAATTCTCACTTTCTTTCCAATGAAATTGGGAAGAGCCTGGGCATTAACAAACGCAGCAGGATTTGAAGTGTCCATAACCTGAAAAAAAACAGCAATATCAAAAAAAGAATCCACCTTTATAGATCTTATTCAAACAAGAATTAAACCACTCAAATTTCTGATTTCTGGGTCGAAGTCAAAAATCTAAAATCAACAACAGGATCTAAAACAAAACAAAAATCTGATTTTTACTTTCAACCCAGTGATTATTAAGCATGTGAATATGGAACAATCAAAAGAAAATCAAAACCAAAAAACAAAAAGGAAGGAAAAATTCTGTGAGGACTTTCAACAAACATGATAAGTGCATACAAAAAAAGAAAAGAAGAATCTGGTGGAGATGTTGAATGATGAATGGATCACTTCATACAGTAGATATGGATTGAATCAGAGAACAAGAATTGAGAATTACCGTGTGTTATTGTTGTTTAGGAGGCTTGATCTTGAAACCCAAAGAGTGAATGAAAGAGAAACCCTAATGTGTTTGTGAGAGAGCGTTACAGAGTAGTTTCTATGTATTGGGAGCGGAAAAGGCGGAATAATAAAAGCGGGAAAGATATGATTAGTTTTGTTCTTTAAGGCGGGAAACTAATATGGATTAGTTTTACTATTTTCTCTCTATTTTCAACAAAAAAAAATTGATAATTTTATATTTTGAATTGAAATGAAATAATGTCCGAAAATTTTAAAAAAATGAAATATGAAAGGCAAATATGGGGGATTTGTAATAAGTTTGTGAAAAATCTCAATATTTGAAATTTATGACCGAATACATTTGACTAAAAATTAAAGAATTTGCATTTCAACATTATTTGTTTAATGTTTGATTTTATAATAATTTTTTTGCAACACACACTAAATATTATCCATCGTATTTATACACTAAAATAAAAAGTGCATGTGAATAATACTCGTGAATTACATGGATAATAACTTTTAATGTTAAAATAAAATTGAATAACAAATGATAAAAAAAATGAATGAAATGATGAAGTTCGTTAATAAACGTTCATATATTAAAAATAATTTTTAGTAGTAAAATAAAATTGGTTAATGAAATATAAAAAAAAAAGTTTATCACAGTAAAAAGTTGGTTAATGAAATAATAAAAGTTAGTTAATAAAAATTTAGATATTAAAAATAATATTTAGTAATAAAATAAAGTTGGTTAATACAATATAAAATGTTGGTTAATAAAATTACGAAATTGTTTAATAAACACTCGTATTTTTAATAGTTATGAAGTTGGTTAATGAAATTTAAAATATTAATTAATTTAATTATAAAGTTGATTAATCACATAATTTTGTATCTGTATTCTCTTAAACTAAAAAAACATAAAAAATAATTATTTTATTTTTAAATAATTATAATATTGCATTGTCCACAGTATTAGTGAACAATGAAATACGGTATATGTGTAAGATGTTGGTGTAAATAACATTATTGTAATTGAAATATTTGTTCTTCCATACATCATGAAATAATTTTTTTATCTATGAACAAATTTATTAAAAGACAGTAATATTAATAATATTCATGTATGTTTAATGAATTGTTTTTGATGCTTTTATTTACTTTAAAAAAAATTAATAATCAACAATAATTAAACATTATTCCATTAATTGAGGTCAGTTATATGTATAAATTTTTTTGGTTTGTTGACGTATGCTTTCACACTTTAGGTTCATATAACAAAACTTGAATTTAGAGGTCGAAAGTGTGTTTACTTGGGGTAAAAAATGGTATGGAGGGTGTCGTTTTTCTTAGAATGTGTGGGTTGAGCCTAACTCGATCCTACAAAACTGACTTGTAAGGTGAGGATTACTCTCATTTATAAAGTCATGTTCATGTCATATATTGTCCGATGTGGGACTCTTAACAGTTTTATACTATGTTAACCGTAATTAAGTTTTCATATCTAAAAATGTTACACACTACAAACACATTTTTCCCTATTCAAGAAGTGAAGAAAATCCCACTTGGGAATATGATGTTCACCAGAAAAGTACTCCCCAACCAAAGTTATCTTTAGATGTGTCTAGCCGTGATAAATATACCACACATTACTTGATTCCATCCATTAAACTAAGACATATATATATAAACATAGTTTGATAAAAATACCACACATAATCAAAACTCTCCACCAATCAAAACTTAGATCATACTGATTATAAAACTAACATTTCGAACAAATTAGACATGTTAAGATAGAACATGCATTAACTTATCTTTCATATTATGTATGCAATTCATCATCCACCTTAACATACGCGTCATCCTCGGGTAAACTTCATACTCTCTATCATATTTATTCATGTGATTCCTTATCAAATATGTTCAAGTCTCACAATGTCCTTACCACTTCCATCACATGCAACATTGAGCCTAAGAATTACAAAGAAGCTCATTTGTTTAAACATTAACTTAAGGATATGTCATTTGAAATGGAAACATTTGACAAGAAAGAACCCATAGCATATTTTGAAATTCTGGCTGCAGATACTCAATGTCACATTCAATGTTATGACACCGTATCTGACTTTCTATAAGACAGTAAATACAAAAACAATAAAGAACACAGTCAATTGTTTACCCAGTTCAGTGTGCAACAACACCTACTCTGGGGGCTACCAAGCCAGGGAGGAAATCCACTATAAGAGATATTAATTCAGGAATAAACCAACCAGTTTATCTCCTTCACTTAAGACCTACCCAATGCAACTTCAATCTAAGTACAACTTAAACCTGAGTTCCTACTCACTCCCCCTCAATCACATCAGTGATACATAAAAACAATTTGACTAATGAATTGTTGAAGACACTCTTCAAAACATACACTTGATTATACTTCACATCTTTTTAATCAAGCAACACAAACACTCTTGCTTCACAGCTTTGAGTGATACACAAACCTAACTTGACTTTGCTTCACAACTTTAGTCAATAGACATACAAACACTCTTGTTTCAAAGCTTTGAGTGTTACACAACCCTTACAATTAAAACCTATTCCAAGTCACTTATCACAATGATAATTGCTTGGATTACAATAGTAAAAACTATACAGCTTCTAAATGATCTTCTGTCAAAAAGGGATTACCTTCAAAACAGCAGCCCTGTTGAATATATAGCAGCTGCAACTTCAGTTAGGGTTTCCACAAAAAGCTATGGTTAATTCCGTTTGACCTTAAGACTAGGTCACAAGACTTTATCAACCAGGTTGGGGTTGAGCTAGGTTAACCCAAAGAAAACGCAGGATTCTGTTCTGGAAAGACTGAGTCATTTTCCTGAAAAAACTCAGAATTAACCAAACTGCATACCTGTTAGTTCAGACCAGGATGTCTTAACATCTGTTATGACATCTGAAAACCTGTCTACTGATTTAGGTAAATGTGATCATTTTGCAAAATGCTCAGATACACACTTATAAACATCAGTACCTGTATGACAATATTTTTCTGCAAAGGTACCTAATGAATCAGTACATACTAAACTAGAATGTTATGACATCAATCATGACATTCACACATACACTTGGGTTTTACCAAAAATGCAAGCCAATAACTAAACAACTACAAACTCTCCCTTTGGCAGATTTTTGGCTAAAGACCCTAAGCAATCAGAGATAGATAGCAGCAGAAAGAAATGAATGCAGAAAAATAGAATGTCTAATTAAGTACCAAAATATATCTCCCCCTCTTTAGCCACAAATGGGCCAAAGATACATGTTCTTAAAAGTTATACAGTCATCCAGAAAAAGTAATGAGAGCAGAACTAAGAAACTGAACACACTTCCAAACTCTACCAGGTACCAGCATCAACTCCACCAATCAGCAACTCCACCAACCTTTAAGCATTGTCATCAGACTCAGAGGATTTGGGCTTCTTCCTTTTCTTGTGAGCAATGTCAGCATTCTTCTCTTTGTTTGATGTCTCAACATCCTTAGAGACATCTGGATTTGTTTCAGCATTTGAACTTTCTTGATTCAAAGGAACTGAAATGCCAGGAACTGAGTGGTTCTCGTTCAGAATTCTTGAAGCAATTTTAGCTATTGCTTGACTAACATGGGCTGACCCTTCCCTATTTGCAATTTCAGGGGGAACTGAAGAAGAAGGATGAGATGGATTACCAGAGGCAGAAGCTTGGGACCTTCCTGCATGTCTTGTTCTCAACTCTTTGACCTTGGTGGGGTTAGTTCCCACTTTTCTAAGAGAAGAGATCTCCAGGACTTCAGAGTCCAGACAAGAAGAGATTGTCCTAGAATCTTGATCAGAGGAAGAGGTTGAAATAGTCGTATTGGATGATGATGGTGTTTGAGACATTTTGACAGTCTTAGAGGACCAACAGCAACTGAAGAGAAAATTCTGATTGAGAGACTGGGTTTTGATGAGGAGACGAGAGGGGAAGGAAGAAAAGGAGTGTCTATTCAACTTCTTAAAAGAATTGAAGGAAATGGGTGTTGGCTCCTAAATTCGACACCTTTGTTTTAATTGATGACAGCCATTAAAAGCTGAAAGATGCTTTCGACTGGCTAAGCCTGTCGAAGTGCCTGTCGAAAGATGGCAAAATACTTAGAAGATTTCTTCCAAGGAAGAAGGCTGATTGCCTTCGACGTCGAAGGAGTTTTCGTCGAAGACGTCTCTTGATGAAGGTGTTCGATGATCCAGAGTGGAGCAGTTTGAAATTCAAAGCTTTGGAGGGAAAACGGTTTCCAGCAGTTACTACGTGCAAACGTGCAAGGATCTGGAGCGTCGAACATGGAGAACGTGACAAGTGGCTTGATCTCGAAGCAGTGTAACTGCCCGACGGTTACTTGGAATGTTTGTGTATAAATAGGAGTAGACGTGTAGTTTCTCGCGTGTGTTCACAATAGATACATAGTCACTCATTTAGATTCAAGTACCCAGTGTGAGCGAACGAATTGTTGAGAAATGTATGTGTGAAACACCAATTTTATCAATTCAAGTCATTTACTTTTCCAGTATTTTACATGCTTTTCCCTTTTAAGATTCCTGTCGAACCTTTACATT